GCTCTACTTTTAAGTAGCAGGGAAAAACCTGTATTAGAAAAGAGGTGTTTGAAATCCAAGTGTGATCCCCACCCAGAGCAGCAACACTGGCAACACCTGGGAATATACTGGAAATGCCCTGCTCCAGACCTACCCACTCAGAAACTGGGATTGGGGCTCAGCATTCTGTCGCCCTCCAGGTGATTCTGGCACCTAATTAATTTGGGAACCGCTGCTGTATACTATTGGAATGTTGTTTTAATTGTTAAGGTTTCTTTCTTCAATAGTCATTCCACACTGTTTATACAGCTCTCAAGTTCATGTCATTAAAATCACTCTTATTCTGAATAGCCATAATCAAATCATATAGTTAAGTTTAGAAACTGTCCCACATTCAAAGAGTCCCTACAGATAATGCTTTAATTGCTTAAAATAAAAGGCTTAAATTTCAGAAGATACAGTTACAATTTATCTTGGAATCTGAATAGGGTGGAGGACAAACATCAATGGACAATATGACCCCAATCACTCATTCCTACTGTACCTGCTAGGCTTTTCATGTGGAATCCATTTTAATCAATGCCAATCATGTCTCCTGACAAAATAGAGGCATGTTACATATGTCCGATGACATAAAAAGTCAATTGCTTAAAATATACGTTAAACACATGCGTCTGATGTTGTGTAATGTCACTTCAAACAAAACAAAGTCCTAACATAAGAACTAACTCAGAGCAGAACAAAGCCACCTCCCAACTAATTCAATGCATTAACTATTGAATTGTATGCTATGTAGATTAGGTGCCACTAAAAATTAAATTAATTAAACTTTAATGAACCTAAAGTAGATTTGGTCTCTCTTTTATCTTGCTGGCCACATACTTACTGAGACAAAAGAATAAATAGTTCGGCTTTAATGGGCTCTAATTACAGCTTCTACAAATCATGAACAGACGATATCTGCATTGTCTCCAAACACTTATCTGACAAGTATAGATGACAACTTCTATGAGGACTGGAAAGCAAAAATTGCAGTGGAAGAATTAAGCTCGGTTCATCTCAGTTTCATTATATCACAGTCTTCCGTGATAGCAATAGTCTCCTAGTATTCCTCGGTTTCAAAGAGAACGGATGGTCCACTCCACATATGCTTGCTTCCTCTCACTCGATTCTGGAGAACTTCCATCAGCTTTGGCTCTGTCAGAGATGGTGGCTTCTGCGCTCGATGAGCAGAGGCCCTCCCCAGCCGCCAGTGGGGCTATGTGAATACGCCAAGTCATCAGCAGCAACTATTGCTAACATGTTTGGCTGTCAAAGTAAAATAAGACTAGGGTTTGACAAGTAGGTTTCAGAACACATATATTGATTTGGAGAATGTTTTCTCTCCATTTCTAAAGCTTGAATATGAACACATACATCTTCGACATTTTTAAAAGGTATAGCTGGTTTTCCCCACCCCCACCCCCAGTGTAAACTACAGTTCACAAATGGGCCAAATAACTAACTCACTACTAGAAAAATAAAAATTTTAAATACGGTATTTTAATTGACTTATTGGCCTTACAACCTAGGAAGAAACCGCCTTTCCCTCTTGCCCCTAAAAGATTTCATCCCAGTTCCCTTCTGTAGGATTAACAACAATATTTAGCTCTCCCTTATCAGCATTCTGGCATCCCTGGGTCAGTCTGTGTTATAATCACGGTTGCTGAAAGTGAGTCACCATCTTCTTCACTTGAGTCTGGCTGTGTTCGAGAGCGATGAGCCACGAAGACCATAATGGGCTGATTGAAGAGGTAGCCGTACATCCCGAGTCTGACAATTTGGTAGGATAGTACTGGAAATGTCAAATTCCGGGAGGCATTCTTTTTTATCCTCTCAACTTACTAGCATGTGCAGTACCAGAAAGCACAGAAGGTGACAACAGCCACCATCCATGTAATCTTCCTAAAGCTAAAAGCAAAATGCAAAACGACAGTGAGCCAAAGAACGGATTCCCATTTGGGTTTATTTGTGGCTGTAAGCAACCTCCCAACTGAGCGGATCCCAGATTAGGGTACAATTTCAAAGCACTGAGGATCTAGCAATTAGCATAAGCCTGTTATTACAATGTTCATCTTTTCCAAGGGTTGTATGTTATTGAATTTGGTGCCAACTATAGAAATCAAACTTCAAATAGTTCCTTTTTGCTAATTTCCAAAATTTAGAAGCACCTCTAAACAGGTGTTTGTTTTTTTGCCATTCCTCAGTGATTTAGTAAAATAAGTGGCATCTCAAAATATGACTGTAATATACCAGATGATTTCTTTCTCTTTAAGAATTTAGTCTGTTCCAAAGTATTTCTGTCCGAAATGCGTTGGTGCAACAGGATGAACTTCAGTAGTTAAAATTGTGATCTCTGGAAACTCTTGAATGATTGATTTGGCACCTTCAAAAGATAAAAGGAAAACTGTTGTTATGACAGGAATTTTGGTATCACTAGTCAGCATTCAAGGAGCTCTGGTGGCAGAGTGGTAACGTGCTAGGCTGTGATCTGCAAGGTTGGCAGTTCGAAAGCACCAGCTGCTCCACAGGACAAAGATGGGGCTTTCTACTCCCTCAAACTGCTACCTTCTCAGAAACTCCAAGGATCAGTTCTACTGCCCTATTAAAGTTGCTCTGAGCCGGCTTTGACTTGATGGCAGCAACAGTGAGAGTTCAGGAATGTTATATTTAGGATACTTAATTAGACTCAGTTGATTTCTACTTACTAAGGTCTGATATCTAAAAAACAATAAGACGACACCCCACATGTTCAGTAATAAATTCTTAGCAACAAGTTATTTGATTGTTCAGGTTTGCACAATGTAATTATGATGGTCTCCCAACTGGAACACCATGTAATACATACATAACGGCTTTGATGTGTCAAAGCAAGTTAACTTTTTTAGAACTTAGTTTTGAGGAAGCAGGTGAGCAGAGAAAGGGAATTACTGCCCCACGCTGGACTTACCATGAGGAGTAGAGAACAGACTGAGTAGGATGATAACACTGGGTTGAACTCCATGTTCTATAAGAACCTTTACGGCTTCAATTACAGTATTTCCAGTGCCTGAAATAAAACGACAACCAAATACATTAGCAACTTTAATATTCATCTCAAAATGTCTTTAATGCATGAGCAATTCAGCAATCTAAATAAGACACCATAAGGCAAAGCTTCATTTGAAAGCTCTGGTAGCATTAGGTAAGTTGGGCTTGATAACCACAAGGTCAGTGGTTCAAAGTCACCAGCCATTCCATGGGAGAAAGAGAAGGCTATCTGCTCTCATACACATCTCTAGCCGGGTTGGGGGGGGGGGTGGAACACAACAACTATAGCCTGGAAACTCTATCAAGGGTCATTATTCATCAGAATGGACTCAACAATAGTGGGTTTGGTTTTTAGTTGGAATTCTTGAGCCCTGCCAGAGAGTCCACTACAACTCATAGCAACACTATGGGACAGAAATAGATCCCTGGTGGCCTATTGGTTATAAATTGGGGTACTCACTGTAAAATCAGCAGTTCAAAACCACCAGCCGCTCCTCGAGAGAAAGACCGGGCTTGCTACTCCCATCGAGAGTGACAGTCTCAGAAATCCACAGGAGCAGTTCTACCCTGTCCTACAGGGTTGTTATGAGTCGGTATCGACTCGATGGCAGTGAGTTGAGCTGAACTGAGGACAAAAAAGCACTGCCCCAGGACTGGTGGTGCTGTGGTGAGGTGCTCAGCAGCTAAGGGAAAGGGGGTGCTTCTAACCCATGCACCATTCTGAGAAAGAGGTGACAGCCTGCTTCCAGAAAGATTACAGCCTTGAAAACACTATGGGGCAATTCTACTCTGCCCTATAAAGTCGCTATGAGTTAGAATGAAAACAGTGGCAATGGATTTGGTTTTTATTTATTCTTGTTGTGTTTGGTTTATTCTTGATCAAAGGAGCCATGACGGCATGGTGGCTAAGTGCTCTGCTGCTAAGCAAGAGTCAGTGTTTCACACCCACCATCCACTCCACAGAGAAAAGTATGGCAGCCTGCCTGCAGAAAGATGGATAGCCTTGGAAACCCCCGGGGACCAATCTACACGTGACTTCAAGAGACTATAAATCCTTGAGAAAATCACCATTGCACTCATTGAACCAGAGAGGCAAGAACATGATGTCAGGAGAGACCAGTCTCTGGAGATGGACATCATGCTTGGTAGAGGGATGGTGCAAGGAGGAAGGCCCTTAAGGCGTTGGACTGACACAATGACTGCAGCCCTGGGCTCAAGTACAAGAACAATTGTGAGGATGGCATAGGATGAGGCACTGTGTTGTTCTGTTGGCATAGCGTTGTGATGGGTAGGAACGGACTCGATGATGCCTAACAACAAGAGCAACAATGTGCATGTGGTGTAGTTGGGCTTTAGCAGTTCAAAACCTCCAGTCACCCTGAGGGGGAACAATAAGGCTTTCTCCTCCCATGAAGAGTCACAGTCTCGGACAGTCACAGGGGCAGTTCCACCCTGTCCTATAGGGTCGCAAGGAGTCAGAATTGAGTTGTTTGCTTGTTGTTGGGTGTTTTGGACTATGCACACGATAGCTGGGCAATTAAAAGAAAACCAAAGAAGAATCGATACACTTGGATTACGGTGTTCTTGAGCAATACTGAAAGTACCATGGATTGCCAGAAGAACAAACGCGTCGGTTTTGAAGTGTAGCTGTTGTGGAGTGATATTTCTTTCTTTTTGGCCCAAGAAATCTTAATTTCTTTATTGGTTTTTTGACTCAACTTTTTTTTTTTAATTTTGGAGGGGTTTTTTCCCTGAAATGTTCTTGTTATGAGTGAAATTTCTTAATATGGCTCTTCTATCCATGTCACTAACTCCCACTAAATGGGTGTGTGCAAATGGAGAGTCGATCACAGTCATAGAAGGGATTGGCTGGTTTTCATTACCAGCACCCACCCCATCCCCACCCTGCCATTCAGATGGGTCATCATTGAAGCAGCAGCAGAGGAAGCTCAGGACCAGCAGCACAGCACAGTCCAGCTCTCTCTATTACATGGTGGTGCCCAAGAGCAGAGGTACCAGAAACTGGCATGGAGATTTAGAGGACCTTCAAGATTATGAGGTGCCTTCTCTTCGTGTGTCCAGAGACTATGAAACTGTGAGACAACGACAGGTGGACTGGCTTCCTGGCCTAAAGAGGCAGAAGTCAAGGGACCATGTGTCTGAGAGGCTGAGGAGTTGGAGCGAGACTTGGCTGCTAGCTGAGGTGAGGTGTTCCTATCAACCCGTGATTATATCCTTACTGTTGACTGATCCTGATTTGTAACCTACTAACTTGTCTAATAAACTCTCATAATTGTGAGGCTTCTCTGTGAGATGATTGCAAGAAGTTATTGAACCCAGTATTGAAGTAGAGTCCTATAAGAGGAATGGTTGGTATCAGAATAGGGGAAAAAGGACAGAGCGTGGATGGAGCCATGTCTGACCCATCGCTCATGGCAATAGGAAAGTTAGGGGAGGGTAGATATGACCATCCTTAAGTTGGATACTCCTGGGAAATACTCCTTGGAGACGAGATTGACAAGACTCTGTCTCAAGTGCTCCAGACACGTTATTTGGAGGGACCAGCCCCTGAAGAAAGGCATCATGCTTCTTCCAAGACAAACCGGTTTGTCCTTTTAGCAGTCCATAGTACCTTCAATATTCTCCATCAGCACCACCAATTCAAATGCTTCTATGCTTCTTTGGCTCAACTGTCACACACATCTGAGGCAATGGAAAATGGCAAGGCTCGAGTTCGATGAACCTAAGTCCTCAAAGTCACATCCTTTCTTTTCAATACACTAAAGAGGTCTTGTGCAGCAGATTTATCTAATGTAACTCGTCTTTTGATCTCTTGACTGCTACTTCCATGGGCATTGACTGTGGATCCAAGTAAGATGCAATCCTTGACAACCAAAATCTTTTCTCCATTTATCGTGATCTTGTTATCTATCGGTCGAGTTGGGAGGATTTTGGTCTTCTTTGCAGTGAGTGGTAAGCCATACTCAAGGCTGCAGTCCTTGATTTTCATCAGCAAAGGCTGCAAGTCCTCCTTGCTTTCAGGAGGGTTGTGTCTGCGTATTGAAGGTTGCTAATAAGCCTCACTCCAACCTTGATGCCATTTCTTTCTTATATAATCCAGCTTCCCTGATAATTTGCTCAGCATACAGATTGAATAGGTATGGTGAGAGGATACCAAACTGAGGCACACATTTCCTGGTTTGAAACCATGCAGTATTCTCTTGTTCTGTCCGCACAAATGCCTCTGGATCCATGTACAAGTTCCACATGAGCATAATAAAGAATTCTGTAACTCTCATTCTTCTCAAAGTTATCCATAGTTTGTTATGATCCACACAGTCGAATGGCTTGGCACACAAGTAAACATCTCTGTGGTATTCTCTGCTTCAAGTTAAGATCCATCTAACATCAGCAATGATATTCCTTATTCCATGTCCTCTTCTGAACCCAGGCGGACCTTCTTGCAGTTCTCTATCAGTGTACCGCTGTCACCCTTGTTGGATGATCATTAGCTGATCATTAGCAAAATTTTACTTGCATGACTTATCAATGATATTGTTTTATAGTTTGAGCATTCTGTTGGGTCACTTTTCTTTGGAATGAGCACAAACTGGATCTCTTTCAGTCACCTTCCAATCTTACTTACACATTTCCTGGTATAGAGGAGTACTGACAGTGAGTGCTTCATCGGTTTGTCGAAACATTGCCATTGGTATTCCATCAATTCCTTGGTTTGGGCCAATGCTCTCAGTGGAACTTGTACTTCTATGCTTTGGCACCTTTGGTTTTTGCTCATAGGCCACCTCCTGAAATGGTGGAATATCGACTAGTTCCTTTTCATACAGCACCTCTGTGCAGTCTTTCTATCTCCTCTTGATGCGTCCCGCATCATTCAATATTTTGCCCACAGAATCTTTCAAGATTGTGAATCGAGGCTTGACTTTTGTTCTCGCGTTCGCTTAGTTTAAGATACATTGGGCATGTGCTTCCCTTTTGGTTTTCTATCTCTTGGTTTTTATACATTTCATTATAATATTTGGCTTTGTCTTGGAATATTCTATTCAGCTCTTTTCTTTGGTTTCACCATTTCTTCCATTTGCTTTAGCTACTCTACGATTAAGAGCAAGTTTCAGAATCTCTTCTGACAC